TAAACATACTAGTTGAGACAATTTAATTAAAGTCCTTTGGCTAAAACCAAAACAACATTCCAGGTATACAGTTAAAATAAAGTAAATGTACCCTCACTGTTTCCCTTTTCTTTAATTAATATGGGCCATTCTTCCCTGTTGTAGGATTGATAACATCACTAACTTGCTGCAAAATGCTTCTGTGTCAGGGAGAATAACTTACTCTCAGCTCCTTGAGACAATTTAATTAAAGTCCTTTGGCTAAAACCAAAACAACATTCCAGGTATACAGTTAAAATAAAGTAAATGTACCCTCACTGTTTCCCTTTTCTTTAATTAATATGGGCCATTCTTCCCTGTTGTAGGATTGATAACATCACTAACTTGCTGCAAAATGCTTCTGTGTCAGGGAGAATAACTTACTCTCAGCTCCTGGCCTCAGCTTCCCAACTCATACAGGGCACTTGGCCTTTTGTAAAACAGCTGCCCTGCCTCCTTGCCCTCTTGGAGTCTGACCCCAGCAACAGGAAACCTACTGGACTGGACCCAAAGCTACTACACTCAATTCCAGAAACGAGTGGAGGTGGAGTGCTAAATCTGCCTAGCAACAATGAGCAAGGGGCAACTTCATTCCACCTTCTCTGCACTTAGATCTCTTAAAGCAGTGGTCCTTAACTGATTTCACACTGTGAGGCCACATATGTAGCTCTCTGTGTATTATGTGAGCCTCATCCACGCAATATATAGACTACCTGTATGTGAGGATGTCACATGGGCCACAGCCCTGTGCTGACCGGCCTGTGAGTTGAGATCCACTGTCTTAGAAATATCTCCCTCTTAGGCAAGTTGGTTACATGAGCATCTTACAGTGAGCACATCCATAGGGACAAAACATCTCAAAGAACTCAAGATACTGTAAGGTAAGTAATCTCTCCTTTTGTCTCACCTGGTAATATAGAATTGAGCCTTCGATCCTGAACTGGATTTGGCTTTCAAAGGGCTCTGTAGACTTTGTCCAGATTTAGATTTACAAATCAGTTGTTAATATACCACTGTGCATATCAACTCCCCTACTATGTGGTGAGCCCCAGCTCTTCTGCTGGAGAGCACACTACACAAGGAATGGTGTCTTTTTACAGGATCCTTATTAATTATTGGCCTCCTTTCAGATCCACCATCAGCTCCATTGAGAGAAGGGCAGCTGGTTTGAAATCATTTAGCATTATTTGCAATGACTATAAATAGGCCGTGATGTTCTCTTAACATCTGCTACCATGAACAGACTACGCTGTGTCTAAGCCAGACGTCCTGGCCCGCATTGAACGAGGGGAGAAGCCATGTGTCGGGGATGAGCAGGAATCTCTGGAAGGACTAGAGGAAAGACTCCCAAAGGAAGAAGGGCTGGTGGAAAGAGAGGTCTCCAGCGCAGGTGAGTTATGCCAAGTGTTACGTGGCTTGGATGTGCAGGGTTTGGGTGAGGGCTGGGAGAGAGTTGTAAGTAGGCTGGTGATGAGCCCAGTACTTTGTTACTTATCCAACAAGCTGAAGGGAGATGAGAAAAGCAGGGCTGTAAGCGCAGGTCAGTGGGCTACAAAGCTCCCTGTTGTCACCATAAAAGGCACTGAACTTCCTGTTGGAAATGTACCTGCAGATACTCTCGGATGAGCTGCTACTCCAGACTGGCAATAGGAGTTTGAGAGCCCTAAAATGTATCTGCCAGCCATGCCCTTCTCATCGGCTGCCACGCCCCCTTTTCACCTTAACCTGTGCCCAGGCAGACATGAACCAGCTGAGGACAAAGAGTGGGAAGGGCAGTGGTGTGGCACTGGGGGCAATGATATTGGGATTACTCAGGCTCCCATGAGAAAAGCAGTCCCTTTCCTAGCAGAGATCAGCTTTCCTGAATATCACCAGTTCTGCCTCCGTTCAATTAAGGGTTAAAGGCACAAATATCTGGTGAATATGAATAAAAGTCTCATTTCTTCATGAATAGGCAATGCTGTTTCCACCTCTGAAATCTTGCCCCCCCTGGCAGAAGGAGGAGAGGAGCCATGTATCATGAACCTGGTGAGCTCCAAGGACAGAGAAATTCATCTGGAGCCCAGCACAGGTGAGCAAGGGGTTACAGTTTGGACTCAGTGAGGGGAGGGAACAGCAGTTGGCCTATCAGCTTGTATAACTGCATGTGTCTGGATGTGTTTTCTCATCTGTTTTTCTTTTTCTGCACAAAATGTTGGTCAACTGTCTGCCTATCCCAGACAACTCTAGTCCCAGATCCTTTGTAGGAAGAGGTCAGCAGGAGTTGGTGGAACACACTCTAATTTGCTTCTGTTTCTTCTTAATGTGATCACCAGTTTCCACATCTAACACTTTAACTTGGGTCATGCAAGAGGAAGAGCTGGATGCTGGGGATCAACAGGACATGGGGGAAGAAGGAACAATTCTCACAGGCTCCAGCATGGGTGAGCAATGTCTTGCTCTTGCAGGTCTTGCATGTGCAAAACTCCCATTGGCTGTAGAGGGGAGTGAGGCCTTATGGAATTGGAATGCCTCGAAAGAGATGAGTGGAGGAGCTACCTGCAGCTCCTATTGGGCTTTTCCACCTCTGGGTTTTCTTATTTGTTCAAAGTGATTGTTTTTTATTTGTATTGTAGTTCGGGATTAGGGCCCCATTGTGGTAGGTGCTGTTGGAACACAGAACAGACTCTCTCGGCCCCAAAGAGCTTTCAGTCTAATAGCCCTGTCGTAAATGCGCAGCCATCACTAGATGGTGGGAGTTAGTCACAGCTCCCCACCTACCAGGACTAATGGGGGCAACTCATCCTGTCTCACTTTTCTGAGAGTTTGATGGCTGCAGAAGAGCAGGGCTCCTCCCATGCCATCTGTGGGGGGAATATTTATCCCTCACACATGGCGTGGTTTCAGGCACATTAAGATCAGTCATACTGTGACGCAGGAGGAGTCTAGGCTAGAAGTGTCATGACATCCAATCCAAATTGTGCTGTCTAGCACATAAGATTTAAGCCGGAACAAGCCCAAGTTCAGGTCTGTTATGTTCCTATGCAAAACTTATATTCTTTGGGCCATTAAAAATCAGGGTATTTTTCTGCACAGAATTTCTTAGCTTTGGCAGCTTTCCTTCCAGATCAAAGTAGTAACACTTGACTGTCTGTATTCTAGCAGGTGGTTGGACAGCGAGCAAAGAGACGAAGCCACAGGAGAGATTTCTGGAAAAACTAGAGCCCCATGGGATGTCATCGGTGAAATCAGAAGAGGAGGTTTTGCAGAGGCTACAGCAGGGAGAAGGTGCACAGCTGGCTCACCCTGTCGTTATCAGAGAGGAGAAATCCACCCAGTGCGACCGAGGCTTTGGCCTGCTCAAGGGCTTCGTTGTGCAGCCGGGAGAGAAGCCCTTTGCCTGCAGCGAATGCGGGAAGAGCTTCCGGCTGAAGGGGAATTTGGTCAAGCACCTGCGGAGCCACGCCAAGGTCCGGCCCTACAAGTGCACTGAGTGCGAGAAGAGCTTCAACTGCAAGTCAGACCTGCTACGACATGAGATGATCCACCGCGGGGAGAAGCCCTACAAGTGCAGCGAGTGCGAGAAGAGCTACAGCCGCAAGGTGTATCTGCTGAATCACCAGCGCGTGCACACGGGGGAGCGGCCCTTCCAGTGCCCAGTGTGTGAGAAGAGCTTCCGGCAGAAGGCCGTGCTCATCTCACACCAGCGCCTGCACACCGGCGAGTGTCCCTACAAATGCACCCAGTGCAATGACAGCTTCAGCGAGAAGTCCAAGCTCAACAACCACTATCGCATCCATACAGGAGAGTGGCCCTACAAGTGCTCTAAGTGTGACAAGAGCTACAGCCGCAAGGTATATCTGCTCAACCACCAGCGCCTGCACACCGGCGAGCGGCCCTTCCAATGCACTAAGTGCAGCAAGAGCTTCATGCTGAAGACGAGCTTCATTAAGCACCAAAGAAACCATGTTGACGAGAGACACCCAAGGGGAGACCCAGCTACTAACTGCCCTGTTGGCCATCAGGGTAAAGACTCGGGACAAGGGCTGCAGTGTTGCATGGAGGGTGGGGAAAGCTTTAGGGGGAAGCATAAGCTGGAAACACACCAACAGGTCTATGCCGGGGAAGGGCCGCATCCGTGTGGCACATGTGGGAAAAGCTTCCGGTACAAGGAATCCCTGAAAGAACATCAGAGTCTGCACAGCGCAGAGCAAAGGCAGCTGGCGGTTTCTCAGAGCCCTGCACAGGGAGCAGAGGCTGGGCTCCTGGTTGTAAAGATGGAAGATACGTGGTAGCCAGAGGAGTTAACACACAGCGGGTGCTAGTCACTCAGAAGGGAAGACAAGAGGAGGAGTTATAAGGTCCCTGAGAGAGCTTCAGCTTAGATTATGACTGGTCCCTGGTGGAGAGGCGGAAACCCAGCCAGTGGGCTTCCTTCTGTCCCCATCTGAAATGGGAACCAGCCTCTGCTTGGGAAGAATCTTCACACAGTGGCTGGCATGCAGCAGCAGGAGAGGAAGAACTAGAAGGGGCAACAACTGGGAGCAGGAGAGGGACCGACACTCTGTCTGGTAGGCCCATGGCCAAGCCTCACTGGTCAATACAGAATTAGAATTGCCTGAAATGCAAGCTGACATCTCAAGTTCAGCCCCTAGGCCAGTGGTGGGCAATTGTGGCTGCTGACCCCGTCTTCTTCCCTCCACACCTTGTGCTCTGGAGCCCTGCACGTCCTACTCCTGCCCTTCCCTCCGAGCACTTCTGGAGCACCATATATCTGCTGATTCATGCGCCATCCCTCCCCCTCTCAGAGCTGGAACACTGGGAAACAGCTGTTCTTGGCCTTTCAAGAACACTCACCTGGAGAACATGTGATTTCTGTAGTGACTCCAGCAGAGGAGGGACTCAAGTAAAATAGAGGAGATGATGAGGAATACCCATGGAATGTTAGTAGATAATGCCAAAGAGATGTTTCCCCCAGAATCCTGGCTCGAGCTAGATCTCCAATCACCAGTGTGGAGATTGTCACATGGGCAGGCGGGTTGCATGTGGGGTACTTGTGCTGTTTCTTATTATGTAACATGTCTGATCTGATCATGACTCTTAAGATCTAAAGGTAACTGTCTTCCCTTCCCTTCGAGTCAGAAGGCTGTCATTCCCATCTCCATCCCTAACACCACCTCGGCTATTTCAGGGTTTCTCTTACTAATTACAGAATGTACATCCGAATAAAAGATTATTGCCCAGTGCTAACCAAGGCTAAACAGAGCCTCTTGCATGAGCCCAGAAATGGGAACATGTAGCATTAGAGTGAAGCGAGCTTGCTGTTACCTGCTGTAGTATTCAGGATATTGTAAGTATTTTTAATAGGCAGATCACACTTTTAATGTGGACCTTATTGCAGTGTGGGGTAAAAGGTGCTGTTGCTTTCTCCTTCAAGCTGCTCACGTGCTTCTTCAGTCCCCATTGCTTTTTTTCTCCCTTACTGATTCTTAAAGTGTTTCTTAATTAAGAAACAGGATCTTAACTCCCATTCAAAAGACACTATTAACTTAAATTTGTGTCTCAAGTCTTGGGATATGGAATGTTTTTCAAGCCTCAACTCCTAGAAGGAACTGATTACATGAGACTCAAAGCTTTTGTTTAAAAATCCCCCACATTTCTGTCCTTTCAGAGAAAAACTTGAAAATGTGACAGACCAGAATTCAACAAAAGAAAAGAACCCAACATTTATTTTTAAATCATGATTTTGAGGGGCCTCGCTCACAACTTTTGAACCTGTGGAGATGGCAGTGCTATGAGTATCTTTCTTGTGTGGCTACATTTCATGAGTACCCTCCCCCTCCCCATCTGTACAGGGACTGCTGAAGGTCTCTGTCCCATAGGGGTTACCTTACTTCTGCTTCATTTGCAACAGGCAGTGTTACTCCTTTGACTTCAGTGGCATTACTGTTGATTTACACCTGTATGAATGAGAGCAGACCTGGGTTTTCCTAACATTTTCCTTAAAGCATCTCTGTCATCACAATACCTGTCACCTGACAAAGTCTTCTTTCTGATAATTTCACTAAAGGCAAAGTTTAATTATACGAGGAGGCTTTATTTGGCAGTTTTTTAAACCTATACCGTTTGCTTTCGTACCATCCAGTGGCAACAAGTTCCAGAGGTTGACCCTGTGTTGTGAGAAGTGCTTCTCTATGGTCTTAAATCTGCTATTATATCCTAATCCCCTAGTACGTTGTGAGTCTGAGCTTATTACAGTCAGGGGCAGGGAAAAGGAGAATATAACCTTTCAACTCTTAAAAAGAGAATGCAGGTGACTCTCAGCATACAAAAATAGGTTGGTGCTGGGGAGGAAGGATAAAAGGCCTGGGTATTTTAGATTCTTTAAAAAAACCCTCCCTAAGTCACTGACAATATGAGACCAAGCAAACTAACAGCTTTGCATGAAAAATCTCTTCAGCCCCTTTTCCCACCTCACCTCTACTGTCCCCTGGGTTTTGCCTCAGCCCAAGAGCTCTGGAGGCTGCTGCCTGTTTTGCCCTATTCCCAGACTTGGGTTCCTGGATTTTAGATTCTTTAAAAAAAACCCTCCCTAAGTCACTGACAATATGAGACCAAGCAAACTTTCTAACAGCTTTGCACTAAAAATCTCTTCAGTCCCTTTTCTCACCTCTACTCTCCCCTGGGTTTTGCCTCAGCCCAGGAGCCCTGGAGGCTGCTGCCTGTTTTGCCCTATTCCCAGACTTGGGTTCCTGGGACTCAGTGCTTTGTCCATGGGTCCTAGACTAGGGATAAGTGCCCATCCCTGCGTGCCATTTCTTTGGCCCCAACTCCGGCTGGCGGTGACCCCATGGTCTGAGGACACGGGGATGGGCGGTGCAGGGGAGAGGCGGAACTCGGCTTCCCCCAGTGACTGACAGTCCGGGTAAAGGCAGGAGG